AATAAGGATATTCCATGTGTCAGGAGCTGCACCATGCATTTTTGTGGACTACACCTGCTTATGTATACAATTAACTTATTTTAGATAATGCATTTCTGTTAAATTTTTTCTTGTTATTGAAAGCAATACATGTCATAAAAGAAGTTTGGAAATTACAGAAAAGTAGAAAATCAAAATTATTCAGAATCTAACTGCCCAGACATAGTACTTGATTTTTATGTACTTTGTGTCTTGAATAATTTGCTTTAGGGAAAAAAAAAAAACATTTTATTGTATGTCTCATTAGAATTAGGATTAAGAAAAACAACTACCTCTTATTTGTAAGTGCAACTGGATAGACAGTTGACACAAATAATCAGCAACAGTAACCACATAAAAAGTAATACTGTACTGTTGTCTGTCTAAACCTTACTCAGGTCCTCCATCCTCTTTTCTCCACACCCCCCACCCCAGTCTCCTTCCCCCAACCTCTCTCCTTTCCCTACTTCCGTTCAAGGAAGATTCACCTTCCTAATGATGTTAGTGCTTCTAGAGTTTCTCACAGTATTTCACCAATTTCTCCTATTGCAGCAGAGTATGAGCATGTTCTCAAGAGGTCTGGGACCAGTCTTAAAATGTCAGCCATGAGTCCACAACTTCTTTGCATTCTCTTGATTTATCCTAAAGGTTCCTATGAATTGTGCTTTCTAACTTCCTTGTGTTCATTGTATTATAAAATATATTAAGTGTCTTACTTCTGAGTAAACTTCTCTAGGAAACTGTGCCACATTTATCAGATGACTTTTAGACTCTCTGGCATATGGCTGCATCCCCTGCAGGTACACGTTACCCTAAGTTGAGAAACCTGGACTCTGTAGATAAGTTTGTATTTTCTAAGAATGTATTATTAAATAAAAGAAGTACAGGAGTCAGATGTATACTGGATTCCAGTAATTCTCAATGGAGAGATACAGTTCATACCTTCCTAGAGGGAAATGTCAGAATCATCTGGAAGGTTTCTTCAGATTTTGCTCTGCTTCCTTTTCAGTTTGAGAAAAAGGAAACAGGAAAAAGAAGCAGGAGCACAGTGAGCTCCTGTTCTGATTGGAAACTGAAAGTGTTTTAATCCTCAGTAATATTGGAATATAAGAAAGGATGAGGACCATAAGTTTTACTTATTTATTTACACATATATACATATATATATATTTGATTTAGAGATTAATGGTTTATGTATTGTTCTTGAATCTATTGGAATGAGCAACTGAATTGAGTTTTCTGGTCTTATTATTTATTTTAGCCAAGTGTGATATGCTGAATTAGGTTACCAAAAAGAAAAAATCCTTGACCTATCCTGTTTATCCCATCCCAATCTGTTGAAGTTTAGGATTTGGAGCAACCATAGTCCTGAATTAGACAATTATTCTGCTGCATTTGAAACGTTTTGCTCTTTAAGGTATCTGCAGAGCTCTAATCATCTGACCATTTGTTCTCAGTAGGGTGCCTTTAGTGCTTCAGTGCTTTTAGCTTTCCTTCTGTTTCCTTTGTTCTGTGCCCTGTGTCCTTCCTGGAGATCTCCAGTATCATCATTATAGTAATGAGCTATTTCTTATTTGAGGCCCAATGGCACAAAGGCTACATTTCTAAAACATTCAGTACTATGATAAATGTAAGGAATTCCATGATAAAAGGACAGCAGGCAATAAAAACTGTTTAGGGCCATCCCTGTGGCCACCCAGTACCAGCACAGCGTTGAGCAGTAGCTGTCTGAGTACTCACGCAGCAAGGCAGGGCTGACCCAGGACCAGGGACTCCACCTTGCAGGAAAGAAGCGTCTCACTCTGTGGGACCTATGAGGACCTCAGGTTCCAGAGTCAGGAAAGCAGTCCAGAGTCTGCCTCTTCAGTTCTTATATGTGCAGGCTTTCAGTCCATTTCCCTTTCATCCTTTGAGTTTTCTGAAGCCTCTACCTCTGACAATTTGCGAAAAGTCTGAGCTGTAACACAGATAGCTTATGCCGAGAAAAACAGGGCCAAAATAAAAATTCCCAGGTTTTATAACTAGGCCTTTCCCAATGCGTTTTAACTTTTAGTTTTCTTTTCTACGTTTATTATTTTTTTCTTTGAGACTTAGACAGAAAGATCATGTGAATCTTATAGTAAATATTATTACAAATAAATGTTTATTCTTTAACTGTTTTTAGATACTATTAAAGGGATCTTCACCCACAATTCCAACATGGATTTTTCCTCCATACCACCAAGCAGTTCTCTGACACCAGCTGAGTTCCTAAAATTCAACTCAGTTCTGACAACATCTACCAAGAGATAAATAGTTTCCACAGGTTAAGCACTTATTTGCATGAAACTGCCCTCCACTTCAGAGACTAATTGCAAGTCCTAGTTGTCATTTGTGTTTCTGACTGAATGGCTGTAAGTTATGAGGGTCCCATGACCCCCTCCTTGGGTTTGATTAACTTGCGGGAGTGGCTCACAGGTTGTAGGAAACCAGTTTTCCACTAGATTACCATTTCATTACAAAGGATATAACTTAAGCAGCCGGATAGAAGAATTGCATATAACAAGGTGTGAGGAAAAGTGTGGAGCTTTCCTGCCCTCTCCAAGGGCACGATTCTCTCAGCATCTCCACATACCAACCAACCCAGAAGGTCTCTGAACCCCAGCTTCTGGGTTTTTATGGAGGCTTCATTACATAGGAATGATTATATAATTGACCATTGGTCATTTTTTAAAGTTTCTGTTTTTTAACTTTTTATTTTATTTTGGAGTATAGTTTGATTAACAATGTGTTGTACAGCAGTGATTCAGTAATACATGTACATGTATCTATTCTTTTTGAAATTCTTTCCCCCTTTAGATTGTTACATAATAGTGAGCAAAGTTCCCTGACCCTTGGTAATATATTCAACATCCAGCCCTCTTCCCTCCCCTGGAGGACACAAGTGTGGGACTGAAAGTTCCAGCCCTCTAATCATATGGTTGGTTCCTCTGATGAGCAGCCTTCATCCTTTGGTGACTTTTGAAAAGTCACCTTAGTAACATAAATCCAGTTGCGGTAGAAAGGAGCTTGTTATGAATAAAAAGACACCCATTTCCCCTGTATGGTTCTAAAGTGATTTCAGGAACTGAGGACTGGAGATCAAATACTATAACAAAAAATGCTCCCATTGCTCTTATCTCTCAGAAAATTTCAAGAGTTTGGGGAGCTGTGAGTCAGAAACTGTGGACAAAGACCAAATATATATAAGAAATATATTTTTGGCCTTCTAAATGACCAGATATATATTTCATATAAATCACAATATGACACTCTTTGATAGGAAGCATTATGTTTGATACAGTGATAAGCAAGATCAGCCATGTACCAGCCTGTTGGAACCTATAGTCTGGGTGAAATCAATTAAATAATCAGAAATTTTAAAAAAATCAGAAATAACTGTTAAGTTTATAATTGATAGCATTTGACCATCTGCTTGTTGAGGTGGTTTCTTCACTTGGTCAACACCACATGCACATTTCTTGCCTCACTGGCCACTCCTTAGTTTCATTTGCTGAGTTCATCTCATCTTTCCATCTAAATGTTGCAATGCCCTTGGCCCTAGCCCTTGCAACCTACTCTACCTAGATCATATCATCTAGTCTATGGCTTTAAATAATAGCTAGTAATATCAATACACTGATGACTCTCAAATTTGTATCTATATTCCCTATTCCTCCCTAAACTCCATAAAACTTTAAACATCCCAGTCCTCAGATTCACTGCTTTCCATCTCATTAAATGGTACCAGGAGCTCAGGACAGAAATATGAATTTTTCTTTATTCTTTTTTTACCTTTACAGCTTTCATCTGCTCTATCAGTAAGTTCTGTTGGCTCTACAAACCATGTCCTAATCCTAACACCTCCACTGTTACCACTCAGGTTTAGTTGACAGTAGCCTCCTAACTGGTCATCTGATCCTGGCACCCTCATCCCCCTCCTTATTTATGGCATCTGTTCTCCACTTCTTAGAGCAATATTTTTGAAACCTTAAACAGACCTTTGTAAAAATCCTCCAGTGAGAAGTACTAATTTCAGGTCTGGGGCAGGAAATGTGCCAGGTGAATCTATGAGGGTAGGATACTAACAATAAGAGAAATGATGAGAGTTTAATCCAGTTTTAACCATAAAATTGAAAATGTTACATACTGTCAAACAGTAAAGGAAGGTCTTTATGAAATTTTTCTTAATATTACAACACACTTTTGGAATTTAAAGACAAAAAGTAAAAGAATGTATAATATAAAGTAGTAGCAGATTTTCTTTTTGATAGTTTGTATGCACATACACATAGTTTAAGAATTTTTCAAACCAACAAAAACATTCTAAGAAAGTACAATGAAGTTTTATATACCTCTTAACCTAGATATACCAACTGTTAACCTTGGTCACTTAAGTTGAAGCATATAAAAATGTTGCTTTTTCTGGAGAGGAAATGGCAACCCACTCCAGTATTCTTGCCTGAAAAAGTCCTAGGACAGAGGAGTCTGGCGGGCTGAAGTCCATGGGATTACATGACTGAGCATGTGTGCATGAGGGTGGAGGGAGATGGGTTGGTAGCAATAAAGTGGTAGAACTAAAAAAAAAAAAAAGTTTCTTTTTGACCAAAAAAATAAACCTCTTAGATGATTGAAACTGAATGCACACATACACATATAATACATATTTCCCTTTGCCAAATCGTCACAAAGTAGATTTCTATGTATGATGCTTCATTATTTATCTTCCTACAAAAAATACATTATCCTACATAACCAAAAATCTGTATCTCAGGTGAGAAAAATCAATGCTAATTGAACATCATCATCCTTATGTAGTCCTTATTCGAGTTCCCCTATTTGTATCATCAGGCTTTTTAAAAAAGTGATACTACCAAACTAAGAGTCTGGGGTGCTTTCTCTTATAGAACAAAGTGACTGTGTTTACTGTTGGCTTACTCTGGTTTTTTCCTTTTGTGATTTAGCTTCTTACATCCGTGTTTGACAACAGCATCAAGGCCTTTGGAGTAATTGAAAGTGATCCTTTCGACTGGGAGAAGACTGGAACTGATGGCTCCCTCACCACGACCACTGCCTCCACCACTCCCCAGCTGCACACCCGTTTGACCCCTGCGGCGATTGGGTGTGTCCTAAACAGACAGTTCAGCAGTGTCTTTCCTAGATGCATTCTGTTAGCAGAAATGTCTTTTATTTCATCCAGGCTGCCTCAGATGACCAAATGCAAAGACATAGGGATGCCTTTGGGTTTCCTGGAATTAACATTGCCCTTATACATGACTTTGTTCACAGTTACTTTTCTTAGAAAATACTTACAGGTTATGCCATGAAATGGCAGCTTAGAGCTTGTGTTGCTTGTTAATGTCAGATGTACAGAAGGTTTTCTTCAAAATGCAAAGGGGCATTTGTTGCATTTACTACTAAAGAATATATGGGATCCTAGAAACAATAAGCCACAATTATTTCTAACTATCTTCTGCTTAAGTTTAGTGGGAACAAAACGTGTAGCTATTGCTTTTATGAAAGCGATTAATTTTCAGAGTGTGTTAGGAAGAGGTTAATATTTTTTGTTATTTAATGCCTTTTTCTCTACGTATGCACTCATACAGTTGCTTTTGTTATTTTTAATTTGGGGGAAGTTGTCTCTTTTTTCTGCCCCCCACCCCCTTTTTTTAGAACCTGCTCTCTAATTGATTTAAACTGGTTTAAAAGAAAAAGCAAGTAGGGAAAAATCATACAGTGACCTAATTGGGATTCTCTATCACTAATCCATTGCTTTCCTTTTATATTGAGATGAGATACTAGAGCTTATTGACTCAGAAAAGCTTACATGGACCCATAGAACTGGAGATAATATCCCTAATTAGTCTGTACGTTAGTTGCTCAATCGTGTCTTAACTGTTTGTGACCTCTTGGACTATAGCTGCCAGGCTCTTCTGTTCATGGAAATTCTCCAGGCAAGAATACTAGAGTGGGCTGCCATGCCCTCCTCCAGAGAATCTTCCTGGCCCAGGAATTGAACCCAGGTCTCCTGCATTGCAGGCAAATTCTTTTCCTTCTGAGCCACCAGGGAAGCCCAGTTAGTTAGTCTGAGTTCTTAAATGTGAGACCCTGACTAGCTACAATAGAACCACCATAGATGTTTGTTTAAAATACCTATTTGTAGGACTCAGAGCAGACCTACTAGATCAGAATGTCTAGGCATGTGGAACAGAAGTTCAGACACATCAGGTGTTTCTCATGCTTATCTGGTTTTTGGAATTCATCACCCTGTTCCAGCCACTTCACTTTACAAGAAAGAAACTAAATAGCAAAAGATTAAATAAGAAAATGGGACTGAGAGCATTTAAAATGTAAATGTCCAAAGGTGACCATTAAAACAAAAAGGCAAACCTTCTAAAATATATATTTTTTAAAGTTTTAAAGTACAAAGAGTGCCTATCTTATAGAGAATATAGCAAAATACACATAATTATAAAATATTATAATAGGATTAAGACCAAACTTAACAGACATCGAAATAAATATGCATGGGCACATCTATTAAAATAAAAAGATTTTTAGTTCCATTTACATTGCTGTATACAAGAGATACACTAAGAAAAACACGTTTCCGAAGGGGATAGACAAAAATAAATCAGGAAAATGGAAATAGAAAAAAGCAATCCTGATATAAAACAATGTAGCATTGTAAAAAAAAAACACACAAAAAACATTAAAAGTTATAGAGATGGAGGGGTACTTTTAATGCTAAGTGTCACAAATGGGACATAGTATTAATATTTAGTCACCAGAATCATCGCAGTAATCTTTAGAAAGCCACAAATACCAGAGATTCAAAGATACAAAGAAACACACTAGTAACTGGAGATTGCAATACAGTTCAGTCTGTTCACAATTGAGTTCAAGATTGAATTCAGCTGAATGAAGAATAAAGAAATAGACGACACCATGGTAAGGTAGATCTTAGGCATATTTTTCAACTTCTATACCCTGATGATAGAGATAGCACCATCCACTCAAATGCCCCTGGTATATTCATAAAAATTGATCAGTTGTCAGGTCACCAAACAGAAGTAGTTCCACAAAGCAGAAATGTTACATTATCTGATCACACTGTAATAGAAACAGATATTATTTACTAACAAAAATGTGTCAAAGACCCTTCCACCTGGCAACTTAAAAACCTTATATCAAACTACTCTAGGGTGAAAGGGGGAACGGAAACTGAAATTATAGGAAAAATATTGATAACTAAAACAGTACATATCAGAATCTGTGAGATACATTTAAAGCCAAGATAAGGGGAAAATTGATAGCATTGAATAAGGAGATACATAATGAAAAAAAAAAGGAGATACGTAATGTCAAGATGCCTTATTACCGATGATATTAATGTTGGTATCTGGTTAAGGTGGTATTAGGTTTTTTCACCATAAAGTTGCTGTTTTTACCTTTGTGTTTTACTACTCAGGCTACTTTGAGGCTGTTTGAATATACTTATTTTTCATCATACACTTGTCTACTCAGTATCCATCTTGCTTGCAAAGTATTAGACCCCCATAAGCCTACTATTTACTATCTGGCTCTTTCAAGAAAAAGTTCGCTGACCTCTGAGTTTTCTGTCTTTGCAAATGATATGGTCGAATACCTGGAAACCCCTAGAGAATCAGTGTTAAAGAGAAAAACTGATAATTATGTCCCACAACTCTTAGCTCTTCATAGAGGGAGAAGGTGTAGAAGGTAAGAGGATGCTTTAGATCAGGAGTCAGCAAGCCTTACCTGTTAGCTAAGGGCCAGATGAATATTTGTGGGCTCTGCTGTCTGTCCCCATCACCATTGCCTCTGCAGTGCTAAAATAGTATAGCCAGTATGGAAACAAATGAGCATGCCTGTGTGCCACACATAGTATTTACACAAATAGATGAACAGATTTAGCTCGTAGGCCCTAATTTGCCAACTCCTACCTTGTATTACGGAAAAGGGCATGAAAAGGATGTCCAGTCTCATTACTTGTCTTGACATCCATCCAGTTCTTCCATATATCTTCTTAATGTTTACCCCTAATCTGCTTCTATAATTTATACCTTGCCTGCAAACACAGGCCATGTGCTCCTGTCGCATATATCTTTCTTATTCTCACAGCATGACATATTTATAACACCTGGGCCTTTAGAGTGGTTCACTGAGAAGACATCTGTTTTCCCACTCATAATAATTGTGTGTGTCAGTATAATCTGCTGAAGGCATTTTTTCCTACTTTTAGACATTGCAGATCCCTCTAAGAAAATGTTTTGCTGTGTGCTAAATGTTATGTTCAGTCAGCAATATTAAAAAAAAAAACTATAGTCTATAAAGTTGAACATACTAGTTACAGAATATCAGACCCAGCAGGGACCTGATCGCTTAGTGAGTTAAAACTGAGAACTGGTAAAGCCCCTCATGGACCAGAAGTCTTGGGGAGTGATGACCAACTATGTAGACAGGACATGAAATTACTTTGAAAGAACATATGGACAAATGCCAATTAGTATTTTCTATCTTGTTCCTAGTCAGTTCATACAGAACCATATGAACTGTATAGTTAGAAAATTTCTTATTTCACCTCGAAAGCAAGAATCATAACACAACATTTTTCTGTTTATAGTTGTTGTTTTTCTCTAAGAAAAACAGGTTAAGAATAGATAGAATATATTAAAATTCACAAAGAGTCAATAGAAAATAAATGCTTTTAAAGTGATTGCTAACTTAGAGAGTTATTGTATCAGAATTTGTGTTTTTAAATCAGCTTGAAAGTTCTGTTGATCAAAGTGCAGTTTATTTTGTAGAATTGGCATGCCCTAAGTTTCTGGGGCTTTTGTTTTGTTCTTTCTTAATTATGTATAGACTTCATCATTTAAATCTAGAAACAAAATGTAGGATAGTCCCATAGTAATTTTTGATTCTGGTGTTTTTAAACTTCTGTCCTTTTTTCTTCCTTTTTTTCATTTATCACTTTCAGAATTGCCAATGCCACTCCCATCCCAGGAGACATGCTTCGAGAAAATACAGATGAGGTGTTTCCAGATGAACAGCTTAGTGATGGAGAAAATGGCATCCCTGTTGGTGTGTCACCAGATAAATTGCCTGGGTCTCTGGGACACCCTCGTCCCCAGGAAAAGGATGTCTGGGAAGAGATGGATACCAACAGGAATAAGATAAAGCTTGGGATTTGTAAGGTGTGTATTTCTTGCATAGGAAATGATATCTATCTCTGTCTTATTTTTCTCCTATTGGTTTAGCAGAGTATCATGATTCACAATTTTGAATAAGTAGAACACTCTGTTGCTAGTTATTTATGTTAATGATTGCAGTATTTTTTGGTTAGTTTTGCCCATTGCACTCAGGTGTGGACATTAAAATTTTTTCATCTTATATTTTGTGGAAGATAAAGGTAGTTTAAAAAAAATAACCAGAGGCAGAGTCTAAAAGAAGATACATCTATGGAACAGAATTTAATGGTCTTTTCAAATAAAATGGCAAGACTCTGGCCCTCTTCCATAGTGGAGACCAATGGAGGTCTGAGTGTTCATTCTGAAAACTGTCTCAAATGGAGAAGAGGAAATGAGGGTTGGAAGTGGAAAGCATCAAATTGGTCATGAACTGACAAAGTGCATTTTAAATAAGTAACATGATTTTTTCTTCATTAGAATTGGAAGCAGGTCCACTTGTAAGTATGGGGAGAGATACAGATTTCTGAATTAAATAATTTTTAGTATACTATCTTGGGGTAGAGTGTTCCTAAATTTCTCTTCAGTTTTAATTTCCAGTCATTTCTGTGTTTGTGGACAATAAGACGAAGATAAATGGGATGGAGGGACAGTGAATTATAAATAAGTTCGTTTTTTGGTACTTCCTCTTTTTAAATAATGATTTAGTTGGGAAGGAGGTTAACATTTATAGGTGTAAAATGAGACTCCTAGCTGATATCTGTTAACATGATTGATAGAAAGTTGGCTAGTCATTCTTTGTGAATGGGAAATATATCCTAAAAAGAATCTTTGTGATCACTTCTGAGGAGATTGGCTTATCTTTGGACAATACATACTATATTTTCAAACTATGTAATTTTAAAAAATTTAACAGAATATGAGGGTCATTTGCAGAAACATTCTCTGTTGATGTGATGTGCTGCCCTGTGTGTCTGGCTGTTGGTGAGAACTTCCTGGACTAGTAGTAATCAGGAATAAGTAGTGAAAAGTAGTCAGGAAGTTGGTGTCAGATTTTTGTAGTGTCACCTCTGTCTGTCTGTATGGTACCAGAGGCAAACTGTTCTTTTTCTTTTTGTCCATGTGGCTTGCAGGAATTTTAGTTGCCCAATCTTGGATTGAACCTGGACCCAAGGCAGTGAAAGCTCTGAGTCCTAGCTACAGAACCACCAGGGAATTCCTGGGAGCAAACTGTTCTTTTATTTTTTCCTTTTTTAACTCATTTTTTAAAATTTTTTAAAAATTGAAGTATAACTGATTTATAATGTTGTGTTAATTTCTGCTCTACAGCAAAGTGATTCAGTTATGCATGCGTATATATATATATATATATTCTTTTTAAAATATCCTTCACCATTATGGTTTATCATAGGATACTGAATATAGTTCTCTGTGCTATGTTGTTTATCCATTCCATACATAATAGTTTGCATCTACTAACCCCAGCTTACCACTCCACCTCCCCCAACCCCCTCCCCCTGGCAACCATGAGTCTGTTCTGCATGTGAGTCTTTCTGTTTCATAGATAAGTTTATGTGCATCATATTTTAGATTTCACATAAAAGTGATATCATACAGCATCTGTCTTCTCTATCTGACTTACTTCACTTAGTATAATAATCTTTAGGTCCATCCATGTTGCTACAGATGGCATTATTTCACCAAAATATAAAACACTAAAATACTGAATCTGAGAATAAATTTAGAAAACTTATTTAATAAAGGGCTAATAGACTAGTAGTAATGAATTAAACTATCCAAAATATCCTAATCTTCTGAAAAAATATCTCAAACACTTGCTTACATTGAAAGACTTCAATGATTCCTGCCATGTATAGTGACTAGAATGTTTTTCATGGTTTTCTTTAATGTTTTGCCTAGGCTGCTACTGAAGAGGAAAATAGCCATGGTCAAGCAAATGGTATTCTGAATGCTCCAAGCCTCGGTTCCCCAGTTCGTGTCCGCTCAGAGATTACTCAGCCAGACAGAGATGTTCCATTGGTGCGAAAGTTACGTTCTATCCACAGCTTTGAGCTGGAGAAACGCCTAGCGTTGGAACCAAAGCCAGATACTGACAAGTTTCTTGAGACCTGGTATAAAATAATTTTTCTTTTTTCAAAGCAACTAAAATACTATTGTTATTATTAATTTCTATTATGTAAAATTTTTCAAATAAGGAGTTCTTGCATTTTTGTAATGCTTTGATAATGATTTGATAAAGGTGCCATCATCATCCATGTTTTTTAGTTAACATTCTCCTTCTTAATGTGACTTTCTTTCTAATATTGTTCCCAGTTCTGTAACATAGAGCCTTTGGCCATGGGAGCTAGTAACTTCCTAAGACTAGGTAGGAATTAAATGAACATTTTGAAGTGGCTTTGTTTGGAAGGTGATCTCTCTTATTGGAATGGAGGAGTGTAAGTTGAGAGGGCCTAGGAAAGATGGCAATAGGCAAGAAGGTGGAACAGTACATGAAGCAGGGGGAAAAGTAATATATATACAAGTGATAGGCAGTTCAAGTCAATGAAAGCTTTCTATGAATAAATGCTGTAGGAAAAAGCTATGTGAATGTTTATCGTTCTACCTAGACAGAAGGAAAGATGGAACTTTAGAGAGCTATATATATAGGTAACTACTGTTTGTAGTTCATGGTTATAAGGCCCATTATCTCCATTTGTGATTAAAAAAAAAAAATGAAACAAAACTTTGAAAAGAACTTCAGATATATTTTTGAATTATAGAAGGCTTTAGCAATATTAAGACTTGAATGGCTTTAATAATAGTAACATCCTTCAATATATATCCCTGGTGACTACTATCAGTAATGAAATATGAGGTTAGAAGTACCATGTATTTGACTAACATAATAGTTACGGTGTCTGAAGACAGTTCAGCCACTTCTGGCCTAGTCCAATCTAGCTTCCATTTAAGCAGTACTTCACAACTGTGTATTCTTCACATGGTACTCATTCATTCTCACAGCTATGTGATGTAAGCTTGTGTCTACACGGTAATGCGATCAAAAGGATGTGCTGAGACAGTGTTTAAACATTTTCAGTTGTGCATGAGATTGGGAATAAAAATAAAGTGTGATAGGGATAAAAGCTTAGTTTGGGAAAGAATTAGTCTGACAAAAGAATGGAATTAAAAGAGGGTCCATGCTGAGGGAAGAGCTGAGAGACAAGACAGAGTTGAGAACAGAAGTACTCCGAGAAAATGAACTCAAGCCAAAACCTAGAATGAGTTGGGAACAGTGGAAGGAAGTGAAGCACCTGATTACAAACTTAAGGAGAGGAACAGGGTAATTCTTCAACTGCTTCCCTGCAGGTGAGAGCAGTTCTCAGAAGCCAGTGCAGCCAGATACCACCAGTCTCATTGCCTAGCCCTGTCTTTGGGGAAGTTTATTTGAATGAATATACATTTATATACCTCTCTGAAGACAAAACAGGTTCAGCAAGTATTAGCCTGATGCATACTGGCGTCCTCATTTCCTTTTTGTAGGGCCTCTGCTGAGGCAAAAGCCCCTGTTAAGCTTCCCCTTAGTCCCTCAGAGCAGAGAGAGGAGGGCAGTGTGAGTGCCTTGGCAAAGCGAAGATGAAATGGATCACACAAGTCACCCTAGTTAACCTGGTTAAGATTCTCTCCTGCCTGGCAAAAGGAGAGTCATCTTCCTCCCATTGGCTCTGTCTTCCAAAACAGGATCATGACAGGTGGGGAAGAGCATTATTAACTTGTGAAATGTTTCTAATTCTTTATCCGTATTGTTTTTTCTCATCTGTTGGTAAATATTAGTTCTGTATAGAGCATATAGGTTATATAGTAAGTATTTTCCCTAAGACAAATAAGTAACTTGTACTCATTTTCTTAAGCTTGGAGAAAATGCAGAAAGATCCTAGTGCAGGAAAAGAATCTACTCTCCCTGCTCTGCTTCATAAGCCGTGTGTTCCAGCTGTGTCCCGTGCTGACCGCATCTGGCACTATGATGAAGAATATCTTCCAGATGCTTCCAAGCCTGCCTCTGCCAACACTCCTGAGCAGGCAGACGGTGGTGGCAGCAATGGATTTGTAGCCGTTAACTTGAGCTCCTGCAAGCAGGAGGTGGATTCCAAGGAATGGGTGATTGTGGACAAGGAACAGGACCTTCAGGACTTTAGGACAAATGAGGCTCTAGGCCATAAAACAACTGGAAGCCCTTCTGATGAGGAGCCCGAAGTCCTCCAAGTCTTAGAAGAGTCGCCTCAAGATGAAAAGCTCCAATTGGGTCCTTGGGCAGAAAATGATCATTTAAAGAAGGAAACCTCAGGTGTGGTCTTTGTGCTTTCTGGGGAGTGCCCTGCCACTGCTGCTTCAGAGCAATATACAGATCGGCTAGAACTCCAGGCTGGAGCTGCTAGTCAGTTTATTACAGTGACACCCACAAGTCCAATGGAGGCGCAAGCGGAAGGACCCCTTACAGCGGTAAGTTAGCTGCTCCTGTCATTTTTCTGTCATCCACTCGAGGTGCTATTAAAAAAGGATTTATCACCTAAGATTTCTCAGTGGAGGCCTAAGTTTGGCACATGGGTATAAGGGAATGGGGCTTCCCTGATAGCTCAGTTGGTAAAGAATCCGCCTGCAGTGCAGGAGACCCCAGTTCAATTCTTGAGTTGGGAAGATCCGCTGGAGAAGGGATAGGCTACTCACTCCAGTATTGTTGGGCTTCCAGCTTGTGGCTTCCATACTTGTGGCTCAGCTGGTAAAGAATCTGCCTGTAATGTGGGAGACCTGGGTTCAATCCCTGGGTTGGGAAGACCCCCCTGGAGAAGGGAAAGGCTACCCACGCTAGTATTCGGACCTGGAGAATTCCACGGACTGTATAGTCCATGGGGTCACAAAGAGTGGGACACAACTGAGCAACTTTCACTTTCACTGTAAGGGAATGATGTCTGGGCCAAGTTCTGTAGTTAATCTCCCAATGTGAAATTTCTCAAGTGTGGTGGTTTTCTGACAGGATAAGCAATCTAATATGTGAAATGTCATTATAACCTAATTTCAGAATAACATAATTAGACCCCAAGAAGTGTCTATGTGTGTATATATAATAATGATTTTTTAAAATTTGTAATTCTAGAAATTTTTATATTTTATATGAAGATGGCATATATTTAACCATTCATGGTTTATACTTTATACTGTACACTGTTACTAGGTATCATTTTTTTGTTTCTTCTACATAACCTTCACCCAGAAATTTCTCATATTTTACATTCCTTTTAAACAGTGGTTTTCCAACCTTTTTTCCACATTTAATTTTTATTTTGATAGTATTTCTCCACCTTTAATGTCCATTGTTGACAAAATAGAGTCCCAGCCTCACTTTCATAGCTTCTGCTTCAAGAGGTCTGGGAGAGTGAGAACCCAGGAATCTGCATTTTAACAAGCAGTTGAAGATAATTGTGATACAGGCCTTCAAAGGAACATTTTGAGGAAACTCTACTCTTTGCACTAAGTCTGGGCATTTAGATGGGGATACCTGTTACCCTGTTCTTATCAGTAAGCATTGGTGCCCTCTGACTATATGAGACCCACAAGAGCCAGATCCAGAGGCAATAAGGAACTGTATGCAAATCTCAGGCCAGAGCAGGTATATCTGCTCAGATGGGTGGAGTACCAGGTTTCCTTAAATGCCACAATCATCTAGCAACCATCTCTTCCGGCTCACCAGTAACAGCATTGTTCCCAAAGCTGAAATGTTTTTGGTTAGACCAGAACTACACATGCAGGTATAAGATACTAAGAAAAGGCAACAAAATTTGATTTTATGTACAGCTCTGTAGGCATTTACCTGCACTTCAAAATAGAGAAATAAATGCTGTCTCTTTCTTCATCAGAGTTAGTCAGTCTTTCCTTCTTTACAAGTCATTAACTGCATAAAGTGACCTAACCAAGGGAACAAGTTGGGGCTGAAATCTGGCCCAAACTTTGCAGGCTGAACTGTGCATCTTTGTGTAGGGCTGTTTCCTCTTTGAGGGGCATCCTTTTCCAAATTGTACAAAGGTACCCATGGGCTAGAGGTGGACCCTCCCTTCCCTGAATTTTTTTTTTTCCCACGGCCCTCCCTGCTACCTCTTTCCATTCATTCCCCCTTTCCTCCTTGCCAGATTCAGTTTCTTCTTTTCTTTGACCCTTTTAGCTATATACTCACTTGCTCAAGTATTTTTCCAACAGCATTCTGCTGTGCTTCCCTTCATAAAGACTTGCCTTGGCTCCCTTCCACCTGGTGTTTTTTACTGTCTCCCATCAATACTATTCTGTCCATTAAAATTGTTCTCACGATTCTCTTAACACTATCTGCAGTGTTTTCTCTATCAAGCTTTTGAAAGACTTGTATATTTGATAGTATGCATTTGATCTTATTTATAGATATCTTTAAATAAAAATCTTTTTTTAACTGAAGTTCTCTTAAATATAAACTGCATCAATTGTACATTATGTCTAAGGTACTGAACTTACCGTTCTCTTCATTTTGGGGAGCTTGGGATAAAAATATATCTTGGTTCTTTTCTTGCGACCTACATTCAGAGTTTACTTTTGCAAGCAGATAGTATAACTTCCCTAACTTAACTGCAGACATATTAGATAGGGAGTACTACCAGTTAGTCTCTCTAGATCTTTTGTAGCTTTGTTTATATGCTCTAGCTTAGGTAGTATTATAAAACACACTTTATCGTTCTATCTGAATATTTTATATTATGACATATCCTGATGGGAAACAGTTTATATCTTTTTCATTCAAGCTTGCTTGTTTGTTATGATGATGTGAAAGGAAAATGTCCTTGTATCTTAAAATATGTAAGAACTATGAAAATAGGCAATGCAAAGTTTATCTGTATTACAAGTATAGCTAGCATATTAAATTAACTGATGAGAACTTCAGCTCTCTTTAATTCTCTCTGTTTCTTAGCACAGATTTATGAACTTTGTTTAGGGCTTTCCTTATCCATACACATGAAACCACTAGTTATCACATAGCATGTATAAAAATTTTAGATAATATATTTTGAAAGATGGATAAATTTGCTAGATTGAAAATAAATTGGTTTGGAGTTGTTTTTGGAAATTAGATTTTTTCCCCATCTGGGTAAATGATTATGAAGTTGAACACCCTACTAATCATTTCTAAAAAGATGCTGAACAATATAGATTTACAGGGAGTAAAATCAGACTAAGCTTTGGTTTATAGAAAAGATATTAAATTATGTTTTGATTAGCAAATGGAGAGGCAAAATTAAGCTGGCATAAATGAACAAGTGTAGAGAAGGAAACTGAAATAACTGCTCTGAAAGAGATCTGACTACTGGACCAGAATGGCAGTGATTGTAGGAAAGAAGGTGACCAGTTTCATGTGGTGTTGGGTAATCACTGTTGGTCGGGAGAAGTTGGACTTGGTCTTAATGTGGAAATGGAAGAGTTATTCCTTACAGAATATCGTGCCAGATTGTACCACATGATCTCTTGGTTCTAGACAGTCCTTTAGAAAGACAGTGCTTCATTTTACTTTGCAAACAATGTAAATGTGACTGGAGAATAATAATACCACCTATCTGTTACCTGTTGCTATGTAACAAAGTACTCCAAAGTTAGCTCAGTTGTGTCTGACTCTTTGCAACCCCTGGACTGTAGCACTCCAGGTTCTTCTGTCCCTGGAATTTTCCAAGTAAGAATACTATTTAAACAATAGTTGTTATTTCACACTTTTTCTGAGGGTTGGAAGTACAGGAGTGGCTTAGTCTGTCAGGTCTGGCTCAGGGTTTCTCATGAGGTTGCTACCAAGCTATTAGCCAGGAAAATCATCATATGGTTTGACTGGGCTGGGAAGATCCACTTCCAGGGCCATTCATGTAGTTGTGCGCAGACCTCAGTTCCTCACTGAGTTTTGGCCAGAGGCTTCAGTTCCTCACCACTCAGGCTTTCCATACTTGACATGGCAGCTGGCTTTTTCAGTGAGGACAGAAAGAGACAGAGATGGGGGAGGCTTGGCGGTAGAGAGAACACCCTCCACCAAGGTAGAAGCCACACTGTCTTTTATAACCTAATCTCAGAAGGGGCAGTCATCATTTCTGCCATATTCTATTAGTCACACAGACCAACCTTTCCTCATATCAGGGGACTGTAATACACTGAAGAACTTGACTCATTGACTTTTTTCTCAGACGTTGAGAAGAAGAAAGCAGGGGTTGGGGGTGTAAAATAATGCACAGGGAGGGAGAGGACAAGAAGAGTCATATAATATTTTTGTAATCTGTCTGTCAGCATCTATTAAGAGGATTACTCTGACAGTGTTACAGGAATTACTAACACCAGTACTAGGAGATTCAGGTCAGCAGTTGATTGCATTGCCTTAATTCTGTTCTTTTCAGTCCTTCAGTTGATTAAGTGTCTGCTAAGTTCCAGGTTTTGTGCTATACCTTAGGGATAAACAATGGTACCACCCTGTTAGGTTGACAGTGAAGACCTGAATCTAAACAGTTACCTTAAACCACATGAGATGATTGTGGTGGAGCTGGGTACACAAATGAAAATATAGATAAATCTGCCTAGGACAGGAGCATACAATGTTGGGTGTTTTAATTGTCTCTTACTTTCTGATTTTATTTACCATTGTTATTTAGTCACTAAGCTGCGTCTGGCTGTTTGCAACCCCGTGGACTGCAGCACACCAGGCTTCCCTGAGTGCCTCCCAAAGTTTGTTCAAACTCATGTCCATTGAGTCAGTGATGCCATCCAAGCATCTCATCCTCTGTTGCCCTGTTCACCTCTTGCCCTAAATCTTTCCCAGCATCAGGGTCTTTACCATGGTGAAGATGCATTACTTTCAAAAACAAGAGAACTTTGAAGGATAAGTTTGCTGGAAGGAGATGCAGGGGTGTCAAGCAAAGATCGCAGTGTGTACAAAGGCACAGAGGCTTGAAAGACCAAAATTCAGAGTATTTAAATAAGTAAGCCAGAATGGTAGGGCAAAGGAAGGAAGCTGAAGATGAGCTGCACAAGTCAGGTGATAAAGGACATTGGCCTGCCATGCTGAGGTATATGGGCTGCAGGACAAGAGACTGCCAGGTTTGAGGGAGGGGAGTAACATGGTCTTTGCGAGCCATGTAGAGAGAATGGCTGGGGCAGCAGCCAGTGAGGAGGCTTTGCAATTAGTTCAGTCAAATATGAGGGCTTGCATTGTGAATTGTGAAAATCTCAATGAAGACATGAGAGAGTTCAGTCGTGCAGCTTACCTGAAATAGTAGCTTCATGTGACTTTTCCAGTGTCCACTGAATATTTGGAGCCCTTGTACACCTAGAGTGACTATATTAAAGCTCAGAGAGTTACTCAGAGTTTCCACTGAAAAGTGAATGAGCCATGTAATATGTTGATTGATGTATCCTTTAATAGTATGGAAAGGTAAAAACTTTTTGGATTGATTGCCACCTGGTTGATTGCTTACCAGGTGGCACTAGTAGTAAAGACCCTGCCCACCAATGTAGGAGACATAAGAGATGCAGGTTCAGTCCCTTGGTCGGGAAAGTCCCCTGGAGGAGGACATGGCAACCAACTCCAGTATTCTTACCTGGAGAATCCCATGGACAGAGGAGCCTGGTGGGCTACAGTCCCTGGGGTTGCAGAGTCAGACACAACTTGAAATGGATTTTGTGGGAGTTGAATGCTTGTGCATTAACTAGGGAGTAACTAAATGTCCTCTGTCTGACCATGAATTTCTATTTTTGATCTAGAAATTTGGGTCATTATAAGTATAGAAAAGTTTTGTTTCTGTGAGTTTACATCTATAGAATTATATATATATATATATATATATATATATATAATTACATATATATATATATATATATATATATATAATTACATATATATATATATGATAGTGTAATTTCATCCATGAACAGTCAGAAAAGTCTAAAGACTGGGTGGACCAATTTGGGGAGTAAAAAAACCCCTTTTGTGAATTGTTCAAATGAAAGACTGAACTGTCACTTAAGAGAGGCTTCATGGAAGGAACCCAGGCATCCAGTGTTGATTTACTCATATGTTCAACCTTTATTGAGCATCTCCTGTGTGTCTGGTACTGTGCTAGGGATCAAGAATTCAAAGCCCAGTGAGTCTTCTCACTATTTAAATATGACAGATGCTGTGATAGAAACCTAGGTTGTGGAAGTTGGGGATAGTTGGACTCTGTTTATTCCGAACGTGTCTTCCAATATTGTCTGAAGGGGCTTGAAGACTATTAAATCCTGTAGCCATGTGTGTGATACATAATTATAGGCCAGCCAAGAAATACTTTTCAATCTGTCTTTTCTGGGACTTCTAAAAAAACTTTTACTCATAGTTTTTGGCACTTGTGTAAAGTATTATATATAAAGATGCTTTAAACAAAAGAAGTCTACAGTGAAATTTGAATAGCCCAAAGAAATTTGAATGATTAAAATTTAATTTCTTTATTAGGCCCAGATTTTGTTCCTATAACTCAGTTATTGTTCCTGTAGTAGGAACCCATAAATTACTACCTCTGCCTCTTCTAAATTATTTGTTAGAAAAGCACAATGAAATATAGATATTTCATATACCACATTACTTTCATTTGGAAGAGAGACTATTTGGTATGGATGTTGAATTTACCCAATTTTTATTATCTTAATAGCATTACTATCCTTGAATGAGAGGAAAGGAAAAGGATAATTTGTAAGTTAAAATGCAAATAGTTGATTTGCAGTTTGTCTCTTGCTGTGTGGCCAGTTCTAAACATCAGGTAACTGTAAAATAATGAGGCTACTTTACTGAACTAAAAAGTAGTGAGACTGATATTAGTCACACTCAGGACTAGGCCTTAATAAAAATAAGAAAATATGACAGAAATGGAAAAGTTTGAGGTCATTTTCTAGTTCTGTAGAAAGGCATACTGATACAATTAGAGAACCGAAGAAAGGAAATGTTTAAATTCATGCCTTAATGAAATGTTTGTGAATTAAAGAATTAAACCTTTAAAAGATGCATGTGGCTTACTGGCAGATCATTAATTTAGCCTATTGTAGAATGTCCTGAGTATAGGAATTGCTTTTGTCTCTTTATAGTCTAATGTTAAGAAAACTGTTTTCATGTATACTTAGAATTAGCTTTCTTTATTTCTGCCTGCAGCTATTGATCTTTGGTTTGGCTCATCTTAATGTTTTGTGGATTTTTTTGTTTTATTTCTGAGACTCAGTTTCCAAAATTTCATTTAAGAGTACAAGTCAGTAGGCTTTGCTGTGAGGGACTTTCAAAATCCTAGAATCCTGTCCCTGATTTTTTTTTTTTTTACTGTGTTTTTCTTCATTTGTGAAATTTGTGTTAGTAGAAGTACTCACTCAATTAAAATACCAAGAAGGTATGAAATGGAATCAGTAAAAATTATTTTAGGAATATTTTATAAATTAAAATGCTATATAAATATTATATGACAGTAATTTATGCAGTTTATCATAATTGCTCATAATCTTTTCAAGAAAATTAATTTTTCTGTCTGGTGGTTCATGTATCTTTTCTGTATACAAGATTATCACCTCTTTTGTCACATCACACATATATATACATATGTATCCTGAATTCAGATGAATTAAGCTCAAAAGTACATTGGTTCCCTAACTTCAATCCTAGACCAGTGGAGTGTTACTTTTGTAAATAATGCTGATTTCATTTTGGCTAATGTACTTGAAATTACATATAATAATGAAAAGACTTGGTTTATTTTGAATGTAAATATAGTCATCTCCCTAGTTATTTGGTATTTAATACGATTTCATATCTATTTTTCTTATCACCATCACTCTCGGGTCTTAAAAAGTAAATTTTGAAGAGTAAATAACTATAAATTTTAGTTTCAAAGTCATTTAAAAAAATATTAGAGATTTGCCATCTGCCTTTAGTATAATGAAAGAGAGGTACAGGTATAAGGTGACTTCCCGAAGGGTGACAGCACCAATAGAACTTACTACCTGTTTCACAAGGTCATTGTAGGTGTGGGCTTATTGTGAGAATTCATGTCTGAGCTCAGCCTGTCTTGAATTAACCTGATAGAGCCTAGCAGGACACCGTTTCCATTTAGGAGCTATTCCAGGACATTAGTTAGGTGTTTTCTCCCTGGGCTGGGCTTAGGGCAGGCTTTGCAGGTTCTTAAACCTAATGGTATTCCTGACACACAGAGAAACATATCTAAACAACTTATCTGACTCTGGCCAAATGGATTTCTTAAGTGTCATTGGACTAGAGGTGGGGTCTAAGTGAAATCTCCCGTGACAGCTCCAAATTCATTTCACTTTGATATCAGACCAATTTCCATAGTTTTATTAGAGCTTAATGGGCTTCATTAAATGATCTGAATTACTTTCTCAAAAAGGCTTTTTTCTTACCAGTTTATGTAGTTGATATTTTCTGACTCCTTACACATTTTAAATTGAAGATGTAGGTGTCCTTAAGAAAGGACATTCTTACTAAATATTGAAACTTATTCATATAGAATTGAAATGACCTCTGTAGAAGGATGGTAGAATTTCATTTTTCATAAACTTGACCTTAAAAAATTAAATAAGATACAAAACATTAGTAACATCTTCATGTTTGCTTATAGAAAAATATCAGTAATATTGATTGGCAGAATTTATGGGAACAACAAATGCATGTAAATTTGGAGTTTTTCAACTTCAAATAATTTGCTGATAATTTTTCCATATGATCCTGTATCTGGATTCTGGCAGGAAATAGCTGGGACATTCAAAGGGACTTGGAGAAAATTTAATGAAAGGACGTTTTTACAGATGTGTGGGTAGAGTTTAAGAGAGCCAGTGGGAACAGAAATAGAGGGAGCTATTCAATTTTCTGAGTCCTGAAAGACAAGGAAGAGGGCAGTTAGCAGAACCTGAAAAGAGTCCTATCTGTAGGAGAGGGGGCCGTGTAACAGAAGCTGTGACCAGGAGTGTTAGAATGTACCGCCAAAGCTGCAGGCCCTGGGAGGAAGCCAGGAGAAAGAACATCCAGATCTTTCTCTCCTCCGATTCTCTGATCCTCTGTTGGTGCTGCCCTTTGGGCAAACACAACCAGAAGCCAGAAGACAGGGGAGCCTGGACAGCGCAGGCAATAGAAGCCACTCTTCAGGACACAGAGCAGGCTGAAGAAAAGGCAGCAGGGGTGAACTTAGAGGAAGGCTGCTCTTTACAGTTTCTGAGTAGGGAGCTTGAGTATCATGCATTTTTATTCAGATTTAATCACCTGAAGTATGAGTTGGGCAAATCCAGTTGGGATCTGTGTTCCTCTTAGAAAAAATTAGAATTTGAGCAGTCAGATCTCAACTCATGGATCATTTATAATTCCACATGGTTGCATTTAATTTTTTTTCTCCTCTCTCTCCAGATTACAATTCCAAGACCTTCTGTGGCATCTACACAGTCGACTTCAGGAAGTTTTCATTATGGTCAGCAGCCAGAGAAGAAAGACCTTCATACCATTGAGCCCACTGTGGAACTTTACTCTCCAAGGGAGAACTTCTCTGGCTTGGTTGTGATAGAGGGCGAACCGCCTAGTGGAGGAAGCAGAACAGACTTGGGGCTTCAGATCGATCATATTGGTCATGACATGTTACCCAATATTAGAGAGTATGACAGATCCCAAGACCTGGTACCAAAAGACCTTCCTGACCATAACAGACTAGCTATGAGAGAATTTGAGGGCCTCCCTAGGGAATTGGAAGAGAAAAGCATTCTTGTAGGGTCAGATAATGAAGAAGAGAAGTTAAGTAAAGGGCATCATTATATTGAGATCTCCCCTCTCCCAGGAGACTTGGTAACAATGGAAAGGGATCATTCAGCTACTAGTGAACCTCTTGATGTGACAAAGACACAGACTTTTAGTGTGGTGCCAAATCAAGACAAAAATCATGAGATAATGAAGCTTCTGGCAGTTGGACCTTCAGAAGTATCTCCACGAGTTACTGACCCATATGTTGAAGAGCAGATAGGCCAGGTGGCAGCAATGCAAAAAAGTAAGATATCTAAGGAGGATGACATCAGGGGTGAAGATTTGCCAAATCATTCCGGAGACCTCTCTATTTTTTTGCACCAAGAGGGTAAGAGAGAGAAAATTGCCCCTAGAAATGGAGAGCTATTTAATCCTGTTTTAGAGAATGAACACTGTCCCCCATCCCGGAAGGATGTGGTTAGGTCATCCTTTGTAACTAGACACAGCCGAATCCCTGTTCTAGCACAAGAGATAGACTCAACTTTTGACTCATCCTCTCCAGTCTCTGCAAAAGAAAAGCTCCTCCAAAAGAAAGCTTGCCAGCCAGACCTTGTCAAGCTCCTGGTGGAGAAAAGGCAACTCAGGTCTCTCCTTGGGGACCTCTCAAGTGCCTCTGATAAACTGCTAGAGGAGAGATTAGCCACTGTTCCTGCTCCCTTTTCCGAGGAGGAAGTCTTCACCCCCTTTTCAAGACTGGCTGCAGAATCACACCTGAGCAGGTCAGCCGAAGACAGCTTTCTGGCACCCATCATCTCCCAGTCCAGAAAGAGCAAAATTCCAAGACCAGTTTCATGGGTCAACACAGATCAAGTCAACAGCTCAACTCCATCTCAGTTCTTGCCTCGGCCACCACCCGGAAAACCACCCATGAGGCCTGGAGTAGAAGCCAGGTAATGCTGTGTCCTCTCCTTTGTTAAATGTGCAGCTTGATTTCTGGGTCTGCTTGATTATGTCAAACGTTTCATTTCTTCATTGCCTGCTTCTGATCATCTACTTCCTTCCCTGTCTTTCCCAAGCTGTATAGCACAGTGTAGTTGAGGTGTTCAGTTTGAGCCTAGTTACTTCTTAGCTCTCCCACTTTATAGTAGTATGAACCCAAATTTCCTTATCTTAAAGATGGATAAAACATTTGCTTAATTGTTTTGGGAGGAGGAAATCTGGTAGCATATGTCAAGAACTTTGTTTAGTGCTTATTAGCATGAGACAAAGGTTCTCTTCCCCAGTACATTTTAACGAGATAGTTGGTAATTTTCTAGTTTTGTCTAGTCAGAATCCCATTATAACAGATGTCATTATGATGTCAAGTTCTAGGGAAGAATCAGTTCAGTTCAGTTCAGTCGCTCAGTCGTGTCCAGCTCTCTGCGACCCCATGAATCGCAGCACGCCCGGCCTCCCTGTCCATCACCAACTCCCGGAGTTTACTCAGACTCATGTCCATCGAGTCGGTGATGCCATCCAGCCATCTCATCCTCTGTTGTCCCCTTCTCCTCCTGCCCCCAGTCCCTCCCAGCATCAGGGTCTTTTCCAGTGAGTCAACTCCTCGCATGAGGTGGCCATAAGAATACTTGTCTATAATTTGATGAATGAATCCTGGTAACAGTTACATTTATCTAATGATAATGAATTAAATTTAAAAAATCCTATAGGGAGTTTCCCTACATCTGATGATATATACAACCATACATAATAAAGATATTGCCTTAATATTTACTATATGGTATGCTTGTTTATTGAAATATTCTTATTTGTAGTTGACCAGGGAGTGATTTTATTTTGAAGAGGGGAAAATAATTGGGAAGTAATAAACCAGTTAAGAGTGCTTTCCTTGGAGCCATTACTCACTTTTCACAAAGTAGTATGGTCTAAACCCTTGGAAAAGAAAGTGAAAGGATAGTCTTTTAACAAAAGCAAAGTGAACATCAAAATAAATTTACATGAAAATGTAAATGCCTGTTTTAGGTAACACAATAGGCCTCCATCTGTTACAATAATTTCTGAAGTATATTAAAGTGAGGTTCTATCTGTATTATTACTCAGCAGAAGTTGCTATCCTTACCTAAAGTAAGTTCAGTTTTGACTTGCCTTAGAGGTTTCTTTTAGGTTCGAAGGTAAACACTGGACTTGAAATGACCATGGGACTAAACTTCCAACAGGAAAAACAGTGATGAATAAACAGCAGTCATTTAGTTGAGACATTTTAAAAAGATGATTCCATGAGCAGTATTAACACATCCCCCGCTTCTTTTTTGCTTGGCGTCTATGCTTAATAGAGATAGTATATCTGTATATATAGCTGCTTTCAAAGTATAGCTGCTTTGGACTGCAGCTCAAGTCCAAATCTTAATTATCATTTACTATTTAGAACTTTGCATGTCCCTTAAAAGAACTTGGTAACTTGATAACAAAGCCAAACATGTGGCATTGTGTCAGATACTACACAGCTGACCAACCTGAAACTCGGGAAATTCAGTGGGAACTCAGCTTTCCCACACAGGTCCTGGCACAGAGGCATTGTCTTACTCCATTCTAGTTTTACTATAAGATCCATGAAGTTAGGCTTAACCAGAATGAATTCCTGTCATTTGTCAGTATAGGTAGATGATGGGGAAGAAAGAGGAGAAAATTTAGAGAAGAAAAAACACAGTAACTTGTTCTGATCCATGATGGTGATGTGGCTATATATGTCCCCTGCATCCTAGGTGCCAATACAACTTGGAAGTTTTTCTTCTGGTTTCTTCTGTAAGGAGTGGCATGTCAGCAGTTTGAGGTTTAAATTCTTATACCAAATGGATTTTAGATAGGCCAAGACAGAAAGACATTTAGGGCAGAGGAGACACTGCTATTCATATGAATATTTTCTATATTTAGAATTCTGGGCCCAAGCTTGTTTGCCAGTAAGAGAGGCAAACAGTCCCCAAACCCAGCTCTCCTGAATCACAGGCTATTGTGAGGGGCAGAACTGAGCTATTGTGAGAGGCAGAAACTGAGGCCCAGAGAAACCAGTGACTACTCTTTTCTTTTGGAAATTATTAAATTAAAATATATTTTTATCTGCAGTTCCTGCTATTGGTGAGTACAGTTGGTGTTGAAGACGTATTGTAGAGTGTAATGTTTGCATAAGTGCATGTAGAATTCCTGTCCTAGAAGCCTTAAACAAAATGGTTTATTCTCTCTCATGTGCTAACATGCTTAGAGACATTTCATTAAGTAAATCCTGAAATGGGAAGAGCTAACGTGCTCTTAAGAGGAAGGGGACTAACAACAAGTAAGTGCTTCTGGATGGCAGACATCCAGTTAAGTACTTTATGGCACTTGACTGCTCAGTAACCCTGTGAGATAGATAATATTCGCATTCAAAGCTGGGAGAGGTGAAGTACTTGTCCACGGTCATACAACTGATACACGGAAGAGTAACTCTGCGTCCTCTGTTTCCTGATTTGGACTCACATCATACATGTTACATATTGGAGATGGAAATGGCAACCCACTCCAGTATCCTTGCCTGGAGAATCCCATGACAAAGGAGCCTGGGTGGGCTACAGTCCCTGGGGTCGCGAAGAGTCGGACACGGCTGAGCGACTGACGCATACGTACATATTATGACTGGGACATTGTGACTTGCTGGTCTCAACTGAAGTGAATTAAAATGAAACTAATTATTCTCTGTTCTTTTAAGGCTCCGCAGATATAAAGTCCTAGGGAGTAGCAATTCCGACTCAGACCTTTTCTCCCGCCTGGCCCAAATTCTTCAAAACGGATCTCAGAAACCCCGGAACACTACGCAGTGCAAGGGTCCAGGAACCCCTCACAATCCAAAAACACCACCCAAGAGTCCAGCTGTCCCTCGCAGGAGTCCCAGTGCCTCTCCTCGAAGCTCTTCCTTGCCTCGCACATCCAGTTCCTCACCATCTCGGGCTGGACGGCCCCATCATGACCAGAGGAGTTCATCCCCACATCTGGGGAGAAGCAAGTCACCTCCCAGCCACTCGGGATCTTCCTCCTCCAGGAGGTCCTGCCAACAGGAGCATTGCAAACCCAGCAAGAATGGCCTGAAAGGACCCAGCAGCTTCCACCACCACTCAGCCAGCGCTAAAGCCCCCCCAGGGAAGAGCAAGTCAGCCAGTAAACTCAGCAGATAGGAGCTGGGCCGCATCTCTCTGAAAGGTGTGCGATCTTCCTCCTAAATCTGATGCATGTGTGTTCCTGTACTGTCTATTTAAAAACGAAAAAAATCAGTGTTGATCTTCTCTCACAAAAGAAAGTAACTTGATAAATTATTTATAAGAAGATACAAATATATGATAAGAAATTACCTAAGGCAGGCAGCAAGCAGATCAGGAATCTGTCTTTGCATAGGAAGGGGCCATCCAGCACAATCAAAAGGGGTGAAACTGGTTAAATGGACTCTCAGTTTTTAGATGCCTTCGAAACAAAAATGTTGAAGGTAGGTGGTAGATTGGAATTTTAAGGGTATGGCCTGCTTTTTTAAGGCTCTACTCAAAGATTATATAGCAAAAGTGAAACTTCTAGTATTTGCTTTCCAAAACTTCCCAGCCTTGGAGAGTCAAAATCACTCCAGTACTCAAAGTTTGTGAGAAGTGTGTGCTGGGGAGCCAGCGCTTGGATACATTTGGCTGATGTGTTTATCTGGGTATTGAGTTCATACCTTTACTTTGCCTCATTCCTAGTACCCTCCTTGGATTTCACATTTTTTAAAGTTAGTGTTTGCACCTGGTTTCTCTTATTTTAACACATTCTAATGTGCTTTTAGCAGCACATGCTAAGGATTTAAAATCCAATTATTTTTAATCTCCTAATATTTATATTTGGAGCAACAGTTCTTAGTATATTTTTATTGTGAAAAATAACTGGTGAAGATTAGATGAAGGAAGGCACAGTTAACTAGAACCACTTTCAGGCTTAAGTGCTTTAGGGAGGGGGGCCGAGTGTGGAGTAATACTCTTCGAGATAGAAGACCCTCTTCCCTCTGTTAGTTTCCTCCTTGTGGAAGGAAAACTGGCCAGAGTAGTAGACCTTGCTTCCTTGAATATTCTAGGTACCAGCTCTTTCTGCTGTCAACCTCCAAGACAATACCAGGAAAGTACATCGCTGTGGAGTGTGACTTTATGCTTTAGAGCTTTAGAAAGAAACATAGGAAGAAATTAGGTACAATGAGGCTTAAAATTATCAAACTTTGTATTTTATATGTTTAGCCAAGAAGGAATGAGTACCTGAGGAAATAAATTTAGGGTCAGTATTTATCTTTTAAGGTTTTATTACCTGCTTCTCCTGTGTTTTAGTTTGAATATTTGGGCTTCTTGACCTGATTTACATATAATCTTAATTTATAAAGCTGTAAGGAGGATCATATTTGTTCTGATCTCACTCTTTGCTAAGAGGAATCAATCAGAGTTAAATTATACTAGATTTTTTAAATGGGCTCTTTTGTACTTTGTAGTTTTTGTGTTGTAAAGACCTCATTAAGGTCAGGTAAATTGGTCTGCTTGCTGTTGAAATTTGCCTTCTAGCAAACATCTGTGCTTTCGCTTTGACCTTGTATTTGCTGCCAAACCTAATATGGTTGAATTGGAAAACAGAAAAAGAAAGATATTTCCTCACCAAGTGAACATATTCTAATGCTGCATCAAAGCTGCCCTGAAGCTGCACTGACTGAACTTTTCTTGTTCTCTATATCCGTGTCGAGCTTTTTGAAAAAAACAAATGAAAAACTCAAAACACTATTGAGGCATATATGGTCTCCCATAAGAAATGTAGCATAATGTGGAATCTTAATTTCTCTCCGGTTTCAAGACTACAGAGGAATGCAATAGATAAGACATATTTGCTGTTAACTAAAGCAACTGTAATATTGGAAGACCAATCCTTCTGTATTTATATTGTATAATAGTTGCTAAAACACTACTTGCATGTCTTCATGGTAAATTATATAAATATTTATAAATATATAGAGAAACATATGCTTATATAAACTCATTCTTTCTCATTCTCCATTTGTAATTTCAAGATCACAGATGGTGAGATTACTTTTTATTGTGTGCCTCGTGTACACTTGGGCCTTGCCTATCTTCATTTCTGAAAATCTGTTCTTGGCATGTGACACTTCAGATTCTTTTTGCCTTCCTTGTGTATGTGCAAAGGTTGGCAGTCTTCAACAGGCCAAGATAGGTTATTTAATTTTCATTTTTAAAAAATTTTGATAGGGGAAAAAATTACTAGGACAGCTTGTAATACTGATTCAGAGGTTTGTCATGTTAATCACATAATTCTCTCCTATGGTTAGAGTGGATAAACTGGGTTGATAATCATGGGTCTACCATAAATAGATTTTTTTTTTAATCTCTTAAAAAATTACCATTCTGCCTTCCTCTTTTCATCTCACTTTGTCAGGGGCGGGGTGGAGGTAAGAAGTAATCTGTAATTAAGAAATTATCTCATTTTTCCTGTTGTATTAGCAAAATTGTGCTAAAAGTAGCCAGCTTTAAATCCTGACCCCTCTAATCAGAAATGTGCTTGTGGTAACTATTCGAAAAACTGATGAAGCTGCAAACTGTAGTAAGTGTGCTATTTTATTTCTTACTGGTACTTCTCTGCTAGAAGTTAAACCTGATAGTGATGACAACACGGCAACTGAATGTTTTTTCTCTTTCTTGAGTCCTTCCGTTTTTCTCCCAACTTTTCCACTGTGTTGCCCCTTTTTCTCAATGGCACTGTCAAACTCAAGATCCAGAGAGAGAAAATTTTGCTGTGTAAGAATGTTTTATTTTGCACATAGAGAAAAAGAGTTAACCAAAGATATTTCTGCTCTGATACTTTCAAAAAAAGACTAATTATATCTCATGTATCAATATATCCACTTAAAAGGACTGTCTTGTATAGAGATTTACTCTGCTTTATAAAAAAAAAAAAAACAACTCTACGGTTTTAGATGTCTTGGGCTAAAAAGAGAAATTGGCAGCCCTGAGCAAAGCACTTTTGGCACAAGGGTTTTTGTTTTTATTTCTGTATGATACAGAAAATGAATTGGGTTTTGTTGTTATTGTTCTGTTTAAATTTATTTTTATTTATTTTTTAATGATGGCATATTTCACATTTCAGTGACATAGACATCCAAGTAATTCTGAACCAGTTTGGTTATTCTAAGGTGAGGGACTTGGCTATCCTTTAAAGTCAAGCCAAACTATATTAAGAGTAGTATGGGGAAGAAGTTAAAATTATCTTTTGAAAACCAAGTGCCTCCTAGATTCTTCTGTCACAACAAAATGGTTAGTTACCTTGTCACGCTTGCCCTTACCCTCCCTTGTCCAGTCTCTGGAATGGGTGGAGCAGAAGATGAAATTAGCCATAGCTCAGTCTCTTTAGGTAGCTTACTCCTAAATTATGCTACCAAATCTCCAGGGTGTATAGATTGTTTGAAATATTAAAATTCCACACAGCAGTCTTTTGCACAGCTTAAAGGCATTTTACTTTAACGTACAGTGAACAAAGAATGAAAATTGGGTCATATCAAATTTAACTGTAAAGCACAGATCATAAACATGCTTGAATGGTGAGTCTTAAATAGACACTGTTACTCTCAACTGTGGTGTGCAAGCTGGCCTTGCTGACAACAGCATAGTTACATTCTGTTTTTTTAAGTTGCATGTTGTGAAGTGAAATTTTTTTTTAAGTTGCCAAGTTAATCAAGTCCTAAATAACTAGCAAAATGGTAATTAAGACCCACTGTTGCCATTATCCACTCTATTGTTTGCTTTGAAACACTAAACAAATCTCAGCTGCTTACTAATCCAGTGGACCAGGGTGCGGTACCTCTTTCTCTGTCACTCTTAGCCACTACAGGAACTTGAGGTTCTTCTGTAATCATCAGAGATTCCTTCCAGGCCACAGATTTTTATGTGACTGTTTCTATGGTTATATTTAATTGACAAGGAAAAATGTTGTTGCATGTTTGATAAACCCAGACAGATAGTTAAAACCATAGCTAGTTTTTATATATCCAATAGCTTTGAATTAAAAACAGATGCTTCTTCCCTCAAGAGCAGAGGATTCTTTGTTCTAGAAACTACATTCTTAATCTAACATTAGAATTGGTGATAGGAGAAACAGGATCCAGAATTCAGAATTTAGTGGCTTAAGAAAAAAATGCATCTTACTTTGGCTACTTGAAAATACATTTATTTGTAGGTAAGTCTAGATTTAGCCTTGAAGGTCAAAATTTTCACATTTTAAAACTTTTTCATTCCTTGATATCAAAGCGTGACGTATGTTAGGGAACTATTTGTTTTGTCATGTTTATATGTTTTGGAATTAAGTTATATGCATTCACTGTTTTAAAATCTGCCCATTTCTGTTTATGTGTATTTACCACACATGTGTTGGGACTTTGCCTAAAGGAGAGAGATTTCAGCACCTGTATCACTGAGGAGATAGAATGGTTGATGACAACTATGTTGTTTAATTTTCTTGAGTTTGGTACTATAGATAGTTGTTTGCAGAATAGTTCATCATCTGTGTTCTAACAGTTTTCAGGATTAAGGCCTGTAACCACTGTGGTAGTCCTCACATATCAGTATTCACCCAAGTTCAGAAATCACAGGTGCATATTTAGACCTTAACTTAGAGATGGGAACAAGAGGCAGTTCTAACCCGCAGACCATACAGAAAGAGTAGTTCATGGGAAACCCCAGGTGGTTGGCTGTTAGGATGTCCCACTTCATCCAGTAGAACTCTGGTATAGAATTCAAGGATGTGAGAGTAGTGTGGAAACATATCATTGGATATTCTCCAGAGTTTGGCTGTCTCTCTGGAATCATGAGAAATTTAAGCCAGTTAGATTCAGGAGACTGCAGAATCTGTTGCCAGCACTGCTAGGGAGAACTGCAGGCAATAAACGGGGAATTCTTATGGTTCTTAGGTAACTCCAGCAAATGGGACAAGGATCCCCCTATTGATTTAAAGGGAAATTTGGATGCTACACACCTCAAATTCTTGTCTGGACATGAAATGATTATATTCTTGACCCATCAGTATATTTTCTAGTTCAGTTGTGGTTATCTGTTCCAACTTTTAAAACATAAGCTTGAGGTTTAATTACTTCCCTTAAGCGGATCCGAAAATCAGA